GCCTTCTGGGAGATGGCGAGCAGGCGCTCCCGGAGCAGCCGCGCTCCGGGGAGGGCTCCCGGAGGCCCCTCTAGCGAGGCTTGGCCCCGACCTGCGCCCCTCCGGGCTCCGTGGAGAGAGCTGAGACTGGGAAGGCTGTTTGTGTGCAGTGGTGGGTGGTTTTCCTATGAAATCTGATCAGATCAAAACTCGAGAACAAACAGTGGGCGCGCGGGGGGGGGTTCCACCCGTGGAGATTGACCTCCCGGCTGCTGGAGGGGTTTTGTCCCTTGCTGAGCGCATCTGGCTGAGCCCTCTCCCCCGCCCCCCGTGCCACCCTCCATGCCGTGTAGGGTGTGAGCCAGCCTCCCTGCCCTGTCCTAGCTCTGCGGCCCGTTGATTTGCCTGGCTGCTTGCTTTTCACGTTGTCCAACTCCAACTACAAAGCCCAGACCCACCTTCCCTCGCTCTGCTCCATGGTGTTTCTCCCCCGCTGGCCTCTTAGCACCGTTTCCCTTGTCTGAGGAGCCCAAGGTCTTGGCTGTGGCACGAGAGCCGCAGGGGCTGGGAGCTATTTTTCAGCCTGGCTTTGAAAGGTCCCACGGCTGCCCCATAACAGAGCACCTTGTTTCTTCTCTTTGGAGCCCTGCAGATGGGGAGGGTCCTGCGTGCTGCTAGTAGCCGTTTGCAGTCCTTTCTGTCTCACTGTGTGCACAGTTGTAGAGTTTGCTTTCCAGTTTCTGCTGCAAAATCAAGAGCAATCTTAGTTTAGCACTTGGGTAGGATACTGCCTCTGAGGGAAAGATATCTGTAGCTTCTGCCCTTCCATATCTGGAGGTGTGGCTGAGCCCTGCTGCCAGGCGGTAAGTATTGTCCAATTTACAGCTGATAAGCATGAAAAGCAACGCTTACTTAGCTGATTAGCACCGTGATTGCAGAACGTCTTGGCAGCCTTCTGGGAAGGCTGTTTCTGGAGAGGGAGTGCATGCTTAGCTTGGGCCCTGGATTGAAGCCACAGGGCTCTGTGAACCTGCCACAGCATTCACCTAGCTGCCAGCAGGCCACTACCGGCAGCTGGGATGTGCAGACCTGCCTGTGAGGGCTGTCGGTCGCCTTTCCTACCAGCACACTCCGCTCTACAGTTGTTGGGAGTTTCTGTGTGGCTCCAAGCATGTACACTACTCCTTGTTTCTCTTGCTGAGCAAGACCATGTCCTGCAGCACTGGGAGGAACACGCTGCTGTTGGGCTCTCAGACACTAAAAAATCTCAGATGGTGAAACATACTGTTTGACATCTAGGTTTTTACAGGCTAGTGGTAAGTTTTGTGGGCTGCAAGGCGTCGTCTCCCTTTGCCTGTAGATGCTGTTTGGAAAGAGCACTGGGCAAAGACCTGTGAGGCATGGTCATGCAGGTCCTTTGCTATGTGTTTCAGAAGTGCTCGGTGCCTGGACTGCTGGTCCTTGTTCCTCCATTTCTGTTGTTCAGTGAAGCTGTGATCTTTCTGGCAGTGGCACTGCAGCATGCCAAATGTGTGCTGACTTAGGCTGGAACATCTGGTTGAAGTGCTAGCAGAGGAAATATTTGCTGAGTCAACTTTTCTTTAAAGCGAAAAAAACCCCAAAAGGTCGATTTTGTTCTGGAAATGCCTCCATGTCCTGTGGTGAGCTCTGTGTTTCTGTATGGCAGTACGTTTCTCATGTTTGCTAGCAAGCCTGGTCTTAAGAAAATTTCTGAAGACGGTAATGATCTGATCCCCCTTGGGACTTGACTGTGTTCAGATGGGGCTCTAGGCGGGCTGGAACCCTGATGTGGCAGGAGCTTCAAAGGCATGGCAGCTCCATAGTCGTGGCCATAGGCACTTCTTTGTCTGCACAGTGGGGTCCTGAACCACTGTGAGCTGGCACTGATCAGAGCGTTGTCATGTTCTGCATCCTTTAAAGATGTCCTCTGAGCTCTTTATTGATCTGGAATGAAGCTGTCTTCTAAAGGCAGATGGGCAGATGTTTAAACTGCAGCAAGCACCCTGTATTTAGTTGCATGCTGGGTAATGAACACTTGCCGATTGAGAATATGTTTCCTCCCAGTCTGCTGAATACCTCTTGCTCAAGGGAGGCAAGTGGATGGCAGCTCATATCTGCTAGTAGGTCAGATGTTTGGCCAAGGGCTGGTCCGTGTTGCATCCAAGCAGATAGGCACGTGTCCTAGGAGGGCAGGCTGCACTTTCTCTAAAGGCCATGGAGCTCAAGGGAAATGGAGAAAAGAAGGTAGGAAAGGGGTAGGAAGAGAAGAGCCTGGCTTTGGGGCAATGGACAAGAATGCAAGGGCCAGTTTGGCTGTAAGTGATAAGGCACTTCAAAAAGATCTGAAGGCTGTGAGGCCTGGTTACAGGTATTTGCTAGAGGATCTTTACACTAATATTTTTCTTGCCTTCATTTCAATTCATCTGCTATTTAAGTTGCAAAGATCAAAGCTATATTCCAGCAAGCTAACATGGACTTAAGTAAATAGCTGGACCTAGTACACCTCTTTCCAGTGAATAAACACTCTTTCCTCTCTGAACATTTTCAAGCATACCTCTCATGCCTGGAATGCAAAATATTTCACATTAGCAGTGGGTGTTTCCACTACTTTCGATATTTGGGAACTTGGAACAAATGCTTATTTAGCAGTGGACAAATTTAGGTACAAATGTACTCTTTGTGAAGGCAGTTGCTGCTGCGGTGTTTGCAGGGAAATTCCCTTGAGACTGGGGGACATGTTATTGTTTGTTCAGACCACAAGGAGCAGTTCTTGTTCTCCTAACGTGGTCTCGTGGGTTGGGACAGGCAGCTCTTTGGAAGCCTGGAGGGCAGCAAGACCAACAAGATGTTTGGCAGATGCACAGGAACATTCTTCTTGGTGAGGTTTAAGTTGCACAGGGTGTTAACTTTGGGTTTGGTGGGGTTTGCAAAGGCTGTGAACCAGCACAGTGGATTTTGCTGTGTAAGTGAAAGAGGCAGGCCCGCAGGTGGGCCTTTGGCATGGCAAATACCTCCTGGAGAAGGCTGATAGTGCCTGATGTGGGAGAAAGGCAACTGTAGTGTTTTTTACCTTTATAAGAAATCAACTGTCTTGGGGGAGAGAGGAAGGAGAGATGGAGAAATGACGATTTGACAACTGACTGAAAGAAAGACCAGCATATTGGTAATTGGTCCTCAGTGTACATTTCAGCATGGCAGAGGTGCCAAGGTGAGTGGTCTGATTCCACGTCAGTCTCCTTGCTTGGAAGATGTTGGAAGGTGTCATCTAAGAGCTACTTGTAAATGCTTTTTAGTCTGTTAGAAGAGCAGATGTTGTATTGCACAGTGGGGTTAAAAGGCTGTACTGTGAATG